CTTCCTTCCAACAGCCTTGTGTAACCTACATTCTATCCATTCCTTTCTTTCTCAGGAGAAAATCACATCTTCATTTTAAAAACATCAAACTACTCATGTATCTGACAGCTGTACTTGCTCTTTTATCAACAGTAGTCAGTATCACTCACTCTCTCTGATCCTCTCCGTACCAGTCTCTTACCAGAATTTCTGGTGCTGACCTGGAGTCCCATCTCCTGATACACATAGGTATGATTTCTCTTATTGCCATAAATAAATGACAATGTATGTTTTTGTGCATATGGTCAAGTGAAGTCCTGCACTAGATGTATAGAGATGGCCACCTGCAAGGCTCATTTGTCTTCAATACACTGAAAGGGCATGAACACCATGGCTTGGCGTCTTCTTTAGAGGTCCCTGCTCTACCCCATAGAGTTCAGCAAAGAAAAAAAGGGTGAGAGCCATAACAGAATTGATAGCCAGAACATTCGGTATGTGGAAATATGCCACCAATGAGTGCTGTTTCTGAGGAATCTATTGTCTATAAATGTTGAGAATTTATCTTGCGTTGTTTTACATAAAATACCGTGGCTGCCATTCATAACTGCTGTCATCAACTGCACCTCTGCAGCAGTTAGGTCGAAAGGGCCCCAGCCTGCAGGAATTCTGTTCCCTCAGTATAAGGCTCTCCCAGGCCCATGAGGGAAACTTTATCTAGATCTCTAACCTTCCACTGAACTCAGAATTCAAAGGTTGAGGTGAAATTCTCCTCACTCTGAGAGGTTGAATAGAAAATAACCTTCTCTCCTTGCTGGGGGCTCCCAAATGCCGTGTCCTTTTGCTCCGCCCACAATTAACCCTCCCTACACATGGCTCCTCCCTACCACTTCCTGTCAGCTAGCTACTGACTCAGTCTCGCGACCTCAGGTTAATTTTATTTAATCAAACAAATGTAACATGTATTTGCATTGTTAACAAAAGCAGTAGAAAAAAATGCAACACATCTTAAAACAATATTCCACAGCAATCTTGGCCTAGAAATTTGACAAAGAAATTGATGGGAGACTGTCGTCCTTTTTTAAATGGTTGCTACCTTTTGAGGCCCAGTTGTCTGAATCAGCAAATGCTGCTCTGCCGGAAAACAGCAGCAGTTAGGCCTCAAGGGCGATACCTGGAGGGAATTCTGTTCCCTCAGGCTCCAACTCTTTCAAAGCTATCAAAGGGAATTTAACTAAACCTCACTCCCTCTAAAGAACTCAAGATTGAAAGGTTAAGGTGCAATTCTGCTCTGCAGAGGCTGAATAGCAAGTAGCTCACCTCCTCTCCTTGATGGCGTCCTTCAAAAGGCCCTTGTGCTTCTCCTTGACCCTCATAAACCCTTTCTCACCTGGCTCCTCCCTACCACTTCCTGTCAGCTAGTTGCTGACTCAGTCTCCTGACCCCAGGTGAATTTTATTTAATCAAACACATCTTTGCATCATTAAACACATGTTCCAGAGCATAAACAAAAGAAACACACCTTGAAATAAATTTCTACATCAGGAGACTCCATGTATGAATGTCAGCAAGATAATCAGTTCAAAACCACATTAAAAATTATACTTCAGTGTAAGTTAATTTCCCCCCATAACCTGTAATATTAATTCACAGAAAAAAAACAATGGACAATCAACACCTCACCAGCAAAAGAAAGATAAGAAACTCTTCCCATTCTTTGCATGAAACTATTTGACAATACACACCACTGTTTCAGGATAAAAACTCCACATATGATTAGGTATAGACATAAATTTCCTTACTTTAAAGGCATACATGAGGAGCTGGAGAGGTGGCTCACAGGTTAAGAGCTTTGGCTGCTCTTCCAGAGGTCCTGAGTTCAATTCCTAGCAACCACAGGGTGGCTTCCAACCATCTATAATGAGATCTGGTGCCCTCTTCAGGCATATATGCAGGCAGAACACTGTATACATAATAAATAATAATAAATGAATAATAAATGAATTTATAAAAAGGCATACATGAAAAACCCATGACTAATCTTGTGGGAGCCCGTTCTCAGGTTCCTCGTGGCTTTACCCAGCAGGTCCCCATAGAGGATGATTAGGACCACGGGCCTGAGTGCAGGTGTCTGAGATGGTCTGCACTTGGCTGTGCTGGGGGAGGAGGTCTTTTGCTCCACCCCTTGGCATCTCTATAAAAACCCTGGGGCAGAGACAGTCAGGGCCCCTTGGAAAAGGTTCCAGGCCCTCTCGAGGCTGTCCTTTATTTTCTATCTGTTTATCTCCGCAATAAATCCTATCTAATATTTCCTGCTGCTCGCACTCAAGAAAACTCTGGGGAACTGTAGGGGTGGTTGGGTAAATACCCCACAGAATGGTGCCTGAACAGGGACTAAAGAAAAAAGAAAAAAAGGGACTAAAGAAAAAGAGGGGACTAAAAAAGGGGGGGACTAAAGACAAATGAACAGGGACTAAAGACAAAGTAATAGGGACTAAAGATAAAGGGAAATAATAGTTTTATTACAGAGTTTTTGGCAAAAGTGTGAGTCAGCCCTGCAGGTGGAAAGGCATGCCGGTGTTATGGAAAATATATTATATATATATATTATTGAGAGGCAGGGGTTTTATCCTCGAGAGAAAAGGAAAGCGGACTGGAAGGATGTCCGATGCTGCAGCGCAAAATTCTCTTCTGTCAAAATTTTCTATCTTCTATCCCTGTCTCAATTTCTGTGAAAAATAAGGATAAGGCATAGGGTAGTAATATAGTATAGGAAAAACTTAGAAATGTAAGATTGTGTAGGAAAAAATAAGGCAACCAGACAGAAAAACTCTCCAATTTTCTAACTTTGGGGGCTATGAATGCAAACTGGGGGAAAAATTTTTTTTTCTTTGGGCTTTACAGGTAGTAAAAAAGCTCTTCTTTGAGCTTATGGGGAAGAAAAAGTTTCCTATGGAAGCTTTTGTCCTGGGGACAGCTGAAATGCTAAGTCCAAGCAGCAGGAGAAAGTGTTTTCTCCCTGAGGCAAAAAATGGGGGTGTAAAAAGCCAAAAAGTTTAAAGTTTTGGGAAAAGTTGGTCTTTCTCCTGGGGGGAAAAAAAAATCTTTCTCTTAAACTATAAAGCTTTTCTTGGAAAACTTGGGGGGAAAAAATCTCTCTACAAAGCCTTAATCTTTCTCAAAAGCTCTCTTAAACTTAAAAACTAAAGCCTTTAACTTTCTCTCAGAAGGACAAATTAGAATCACCTGAAGATATTAGTATGGGGACCACCTGTGATTAGCTCAAAGGGAAAATAACAAACCTCTTAAAACAACCTCTCCAAGTTCTCTTTCAAGCTTTAAAAATCCTCCCTGCAATGCAGGAGGCAGGGACAAGTTCCTAAAAACCTCTTCTAAGCTCTGTCTCTTCAAGCTAGTAAAAGACAGTGGGTCAGAGTACCCTGAGGGAAACGCTTGGAACAGTGTGGGTAAAAAGCTACAGAGAGCCCAAAAGGGCAGGAAACTTTACCTGAGAAAAGCAAAAAAGCCAAGCTTTTCAGTTACAGCCGAGCTGAGGCATCAAGGGTTTTGTTTCTGAGTGAGCATTTCAGAATGAAAGGGTGCTCCTAATCGTCCTAATGCAAAGATCCCCTGAAGCAATGCAAACTGTTAGCATTGTATCCTCGATTCTGACCAAAAATCCAGAGGCGACTGGCCAGCATCTCTGAGTTGAAGTGCATTTCGGGGATACTAGGGTTCCTGCAGTGGTAAACTTCCTGGAGCACAGAGCTGAGGCAGGAAGGTGCAGGACCCAGGGGAAGATTGCTAATGAACAACCAAAGCTAAAGCCAGTGGGAATGGCACAGTTGTCTGCTTTCCTACAAGTCCCAGGTTGATAGGTCCACAGCTGCAAAAAGAAATCTGAGGAAAAGCTTTCCTATCAGAGAAAGGACCTTTCTGGGAAAACAGTAAAGCTGAACTCTGTCTGATGCAGTTGTGCTGCTGAGTCAGAATGCTGTCTGGGGAAAGAGCCCAGTCAGGGCAGAACAGAATTATCCAGGAGTAAAACTTTTTTTTTGTCATAGAAAGCACCTCTTTGAAAAAAGCTTTGTTTCAACTGACTGCCTGAGATGAGGGAGTGTAGCCCTAAGGGGTGATTGCCTCTGGCATAAGCTCTGTCCTTGAGCACCCAGACAAGCAAATGCAACCCACTGGGGGACTGGGCCAGGTGAAGGCCTGATGAGGCAAAACACCTGTCCTAATGGGAGTTTAGAAATGGCAAAAACCTTCCTTGTTAGATTTTCAGTCTGTACGCAAACCACACAGACCCTGAAAACAGAAACGGACAAAAAACCCCTACCTTCAGTAGCAGGGAAAGCCACCACTGTAGTGTCGGAAACTGTTTCTGGGGTAGAGGGGATAAATTGAGACCAAACTGGGAACTGTCTGGGAAAAAGACTCCAAAGAAACAGAAGGGACATAATCCTCCCCAGAAAATGTGACCTGAAAAAGCTGCTAGAATTTGAGGCAGATTCGGGGGGGGGGGGGGGGGGGGGGAGGGCAGCTAGCAGATGTTAGAGACCAACTCCGGACATCTGTGTCCTGGACTTTGTCAAGCCTTGACAAGAGGTTCCTGGCCTAATTGCAGGGTATATGACTAGATAAGAGCTTCCTGACCTAACTGCAGGAGATGTGACTAGATAAGACCTTCCTGGCCTAACTGCAGGAGATGCGATTAGGTAAACTTTTGGAGCCTGTCAACTGCAGGGGGCCCGGGATCAAAGCCACCTCGCCCTGACCCCTCCCTTAGGAATTTTCTCTATCCCTGCTTCCCCTGCTCCCCCTCCCTGCCTGAAGCCCTGCTTATAAGCCTCAACACCCAGTCAATAAATGAGACCTTGACGAGACTCAGACTGACTTTGTCTTCCTTAATGCGCCTGGTCTCCTTTCTCTCTCGCCCCCATTGATCTTTCAGGAGGTGCCTCCTCGGGTCTCCCAAATAACCTGGCCCGCGGGACGGGTCAAGTGGCGCCCGAACGTGGGGCCCGAGGCACGGTGACCTGCCGGACGACGGACAACAGAAGGGGCCCAGGAGAGGATCAGGGTAGAGACGCCCGGACCGCATCACTCGTGCAACGCGGGAGAGTCTTGAGGTAAGTATGTCGTCCCATCGATCAAGGGCAAAAATTTGTCTAAAGAGGCTGTTTTTCTAAAGGAGATGAAAGGTAATCTTAGGGAGAGAGAAATAAGAGTTAAAAAAAAAAAGAGGATTTAATAAAATTCTTCCAATATATGGAGGAGAAATGTCCCTGGTTAGTGATTAATGGACCAGGAATTCACCCTCTGACTTGGAACAAGGTTGGAAAAGATACTAACAAATTAATCAGAGATGGGAAAATGTCCCCGACGCCTTTTTTAGTTTTTATGGTGTGATTAGAGATGTTTTACCGGTAAGAGCGCTCTCTGTCTTGTCTGTGTCTCTCTGTCTTGTTACTTTTGTTTTGTACTTTGCAGGCTTGATTTATACTTTGCAGGCTCTCACTGGGACAGACGTGTCCGGACAGTGAACCTGGCGGCAAAGGGAGACGTCCCAGAGCCCTAAGGCCACCTCAGAGGTGACCATTTGGTTTAGGAGCATCTTTGGGTATCTTCCCCCACGGTGGGAGGAAGTGCCACTTTGTATTTTGTCCCGGGAATTTGTCAGAGCCATTTTGTGGGGTTTTTTTTGTATGTTTTGTTGTAATCATTGTTACTTTACTCTCTCCTTCTCTTCCAAGAAAAAAAAAAAGGTGCATGTCTGACTGACAGGGATGTGGAAGCCCCTGATGTCTGTTTGATTAAGGACAGAGGTCCTCCAGTCAGGATTGTTTTTGATGTGATTGGGCCTGGAGGGATACCCCCCCCCCCCGCCAGAGCACATCAGGCTGTCATTGTTCTTGGAGCTTTGTTGGTTGTTTTGTTGGGGCAAAGTTTTTTCGTGTGCCTTTGGTCTTGTGTGTAATGTATTAACTGTTTTCATTGTTGACTTGACTGTGACGGACGCTATGGGACAGTTCCCTTCTTCTCCACTAGACTTTTGCCTAGCCCACTGGAAGGATATGTGAGCCACAACAGAGGGAACTGGGTCCCCCACCCCCACTTCCCGATTGAACTGAGATAAACAGGTAGCTCCTGCCAGGTGTGGCTTGCATACTGTAAGAGGGACTTGCTGGCTGTGAATGAGGCCATCGTCTCAGTGCTGATGTTCCGGTTGGTTCTTGGATTGTCTGTGTAAATGTTATTTGTTTCTGTCTACTAACATCCCTTATTATCCTAGAGGAAGAGGAGGAGAGGCATAACAAAGGCCACCTCCGTCCCTCCTTAGCTCTCTTGCTATCAGGACTGCAGCCAGCTGGCCGCTCTCATGAGGGTGGGGGTGCCTGCTCTCCATACAGGCCGGCAAAGACAGGAGCTCTGGACAGGGCAATGGGGACTGCCTGCAATTGACAAAAACTGTGTGAACACTGAGCAGAGAATCTGACTTTAGTCAGAGGAGTTAATAAAAACTTTTTTTCAGGAACACTGGCAGCCAAGGACACACTCTATGCCCACTGCTCCCCCTCCTTCCCTTTACTGTGATGACTTCAAGGTCTCTTCTGCCGGCCAGCAGCTTCTCTTGTTAACCCTTTTCTGTCCTGGTATTGCTTAAAAAGAAATGTTAAATTATCAGTTCAAGATACTGGGAAAATTATGCTTTTGTTTCCACAGGAAAAATAAAAATTTACATGGTGTGAAACCTCAATAACCCCCCTTCCTCTATCCCCTACAGACAAAGAGGAGCCTAAACCAGGATTCCTAAGTGTAGATAAGAAGTTAGACCCCTTTTTTCCCAGGTGGCTTTATCAGCTACAGAAAAAAAAAAAAAAACACAGAGTCCGAATATATGACCATCTGACAGAGGCTAAGTGGTCATAAAACATCCCAAACTTCTCGAACCCCGGAGACAGCTCGTAAAACTCCTAGACATGGTTGTTTAACAAACAAGAAATAAAGATAACATACTGATATGAACCAGAAAGAATGGAGGCAGGCTGTGAGAGATGAATTATGTGGTCTGTGCCTTTAAGAACTAGCCTCACAAAGAAAGTGCGCGCTCCTTCCAATCTCCCTGCTGTGCGTGAGAGATTTGGAACGAGCCCCCTGCCGCGGCTTGTAAACTTTGACTTCATCTGAATAAACCTTGCTTTTTGCATTCTGTACCTAAGTCTCCAGGAGGGTTCTTTGGGGGCGATCTGGGCATAGCAATGGGTTTTGGTCATTTGAGTTCAATGGGTTACAAATACTTGCCATCATTTAAGAGAATTGGTTTCAAATTATTGTTGGTTAAGATAAAAAAAATGTTTTAAAAAATATGTAAAATGCAAGTTATTAGAATATGTAAAAGCAAGGTATAAAGGTCTGAGGATAAAAAGGCTTAAATAATGATTAAAAAAAATGACTTGAGATATATAAAAAAATGAAACATGTTTCAGATTTCTTTGTCTTGCTATTCTGCTGTTACATTGAGACTCCAAAGGGTCATAGTTGTAAAAATGTCTGTCTACTCTACAGGTATGAATGAAAAATGTGGCCACATGTATGTTTGGTTTTGAATGTCTGAGTTTGCATGTCCTTTATGTTAAGGAATACAAGTTAATACTAGTCATCTGGCTATTCAGATACTAGTTTAAAGCATAAACTGTTCTATTTTAATAAAAAAAAACCTGAGAGGTATATTTAACTAATATATCTATAGGTGAACAAATTGACCTGGTTATTGTTACCAAACTTAGAGATATTTTCAAGATTGGGCCTAGATTTGTTTGGCTCAGATACATTTAATAGATAATGGTCCTCAAACCTGTCAAAGATCTGATAAATATGGCATTTACATTATTTGTTAAAAAGCTTACTATAGCAAACAGAGACTCCAAGCTCCCCAGCTCCTAGCAATGACTCCCAAGGTCTCCAAAGAAGATATGGAGCAATGACAAAAAGATGCCACCTAAATTGCGGACAACACTGACCACTGGGCAAGACGCTCTGACTCAACACCTCCTGACAGGGATCTGGCCTATGAGACACTGACAAGATAAGGTCAGTTTTTACCAAGTTGCTCCTCAACAGGGAGAATTTCACATTATGGGCCCAGCAGCCAAGACTGATGCTGTCCTGACACCTGTCCTGCCAACACTATGAAGACTATAGGAGCCTGGGATGATGGCAGTCTGGGTAATAGATAGTCTCTGTTGTTGTTGTTGTTTTTTTTTTTTTTAATTAGATTTAAAAGTCTGCACTCAGGTAAAGTTTATTCTTCTCAGATCTTTGATGACATTGATGACTGGACTAGCTATAGCTTTCTCAGCTTAGTAATTGATTGATCAATGGATTAATTAATTAAAGCTAATAAGTCTCTTTAAAAAAAAAAAAAACAGGTTCTAAATATAGACTTACAGATGCTTTTCATTGGGCCAAGGAAATTTCAGTCCAATCTATACTTGGCTCTCTAGATAGAAAAGACACTATGGATTTCAGGGCAAATTGATAATACTACAATTACTAAGACTATGGGTCCAAAAGTTCCAAATAAGCTTGTAAGTTTTAACTCCTGTTCCTAGTTTATATCTATCTCAACAGGTTTCCACTTGGCTGACAGATACATCCTAGCATCATTTGCTGGTGACAACATACTGCAAATGACTGTGAGCCCTGAACTTGCTGAAAGCTGATATGGACCAATTCAGCCGATATGCATACCATCTCTTCAGCTGGTCAATAAAACGTTCCCTCTTGTCTTTGACTAACATTCTGGCTTTCCAGGGCCTTGACAACAACGTCCCAATGTCAGCAGGAAGTAATTATAGAAGAGAAAACATCGCCCTTGTTTCCCGCCCCCCTGGAATGTTAGATCAAAAGGGAATTTCTTGTCATAGGGAACCTGAGATAAAGTTCCAAGTTCTTTGAGGATAAGGAACTCTGTCAGCCATCAAAAGGCTTTTGGCCCTTGTGCTTCTGCTAATTACTGTTGGCTCTTATATCACTGGTGTCTTAACTAAATGATGATTCATGTCTGGGTACCACTAAACTGAGGATGCTAGAATTCCAATATCCACCTCTGAACCCATGACACACTTGCAGATGGCAAAAACTAAATAAGGGGAAGCTCGCTTTGCCATTGATAATGGGAAAGCTCTTATGTTCTGGTCCAATTAGTCTCCGATATGGAATTCTTTGAGCAGAGAGGCAGATACACTCGAGAACCTGTGTCTATGACTATTGCCCTATTGTTAGGTATTGGGGGTATCACTGCAGGAATTGGTACAGGAACTACTGCCCTCGTACAGAGCAACCACCTTATGCAGTTACAAATGGCTATGACTACTGACCTAGAGGCCATAGAAAGATCCATTTCTGCTCTAGAGAAATCTTTAACCTCGCTCTCTGAAGTTGTGTTACAAAACATAAGAGGTCTGGATTTACTATTTTTAAAGGAGGGGGGATTATGTGCAGCCTTAAAGAAAGAATGCTGCTTTTATGCCGACCATACTGGTATTGTCAGGGAATTGATGGAAAAATTAAGGAAAAGGCTAGCCCAAAAAAAAAAAAAAAAAAAGGGAGTTTAAAAATCAGCACAGGTGGTTTAAAAATTGGCTGCAAGGGTCCCCCTGGCTCTCCACCTTGCTACCTACCATTCTAGCCCCCTTAGTTGTTTTTCTCCTTCTCATTACCTTTGGTCTCTGGGCCTTTCAGCAGTTGACTCAGTTTATCAAAAATCAGATTGATTCGGCCTCACCACGACACATCTCGATTCATTATCATAGAGTAGATTCCGAGGAGGCCAGCCAGGAGCCCCATCAAGGACTCAGATTCAGTGTCCTAAGGCCCTAGCGTCCCCACGGTCTTGCTAGAGGATACCCAATGACGGGAATAGTACAGGGCTCACGCCGGAGACAACAGCGTACAGAGGTCGTCGAGACCGGCTCAACATGGCACGCTGCCGAGCGTGGGAAGCCCCCTGTGTAGCCTAAGACAGGGACTCTCTCGGACCCTAGCCACCCCAATCACAATGGACTTGGTCCATTTTTGAGAAAAGAGGGGGAACTGTTAGAGACCAACTCCGGACATCTGTGTCCTGGACTTTGTCAAGGCTTGACAAGAGGTTCCTGGCCTAATTGCAGGGTATATGACTAGATAAAAGCTTCCTGACCTAACTGCAGGAGATGTGACTAGATAAGACCTTCCTGGCCTAACTGCAGGAGATGCGATTAGGTAAACTTTTGGAGCCTGTCAACTGCAGGGGGCCCGGGATCAAAGCCAACTCGCCCTGACCCCTCCCTTAGGAATTTTCTCTATCCCTGCTTCCCCTGCTCCCCCTCCCTGCCTGAAGCCCTGCTTATAAGCCTCAACACCCAGTCAATAAATGAGACCTTGACGAGACTCAGACTGACTTTGTCTTCCTTAATGCGCCTGGTCTCCTTTCTCTCTTGCCCCCATTGATCTTTCAGGAGGTGCCTCCTCGGGTCTCCCGAATAACCTTGCCCGCGGGACGGGTCAAGCAGAGGTACAGAGCCGCAGACAGATACCTAAAGCTCTGCATCTAGTGGGGGAGGAACAAGCAAAATGAGAATAAAATCAGTGGGAGAAAAATCTCTTCTGAAGGAGCTATGGAAAAGCTGTTGTACATGATCTTGTTTTTCACTGACTGGCTAAGGCAAGCACAAGCCCCAAGGAAAGTTGCTATCAGAAATTGCCCACCTCAATGCGCACTAACGAGGCAGGTGCGGTTCTGATTTGGGGGCCAATGTCTGAAGGAGAGACACCTGTTAAAGCCAGCTGAGGAGAGACTAGAAACCTACCAATGTCCCATAATTGAAAATGTAAAACGCTTGTCCAAATCTCCCGTTGCAAAAGCAAAAAACGTTGTTCAAACCTCCCGGGCAAGAATTGGTAAGCAAATCTGGTAAAAGAACCAGTTGACTCTCAGACCTGAAAAGAACTATGGGAAATGACTGATGGGAAATGATATAAGGAAAATGATATAAGGGACTGATATTATTATGGACTGATATAAGGGAAATGCATTCTGGGAAAGGTAGTTTTTGCGCTAAAGATGGTGACATTGCCCTGAAACACTTGTTATCTAGAAAATACGTTCATATTAAACTTAAAATACAGCTTTTAAAAGAATAAGGAGGAAAATCGTCTAAGAGTTTAAGTGTCAGTTCCATTGAAAATTTGAAAGGATACGGAGCTAGGTGCTTCGCAGTTTGGGGCTCCATTGGTAAAATGCCTTATTTACCCTAATAGCTGTGCAAAGTTTTTATGGTAGTTGGATGACAAAAAACTACCTTTAAGAGCAAACAAGCCACTTTAAAATCCTTAAGAAAGCAAGAGAGCAGTTTATACACTGAACGTTGTCTTAGATATGAAGAAACTTATGTGAAATTAAAAATTATTTAACTCTTGAACAAACAGCCTGCAATGAGTGATTCCTTTGCAAATCTAATTAAGGGGATAAGAAACAGGCATTCAAAAAGAAATGACTGCTTTATAGATGGGAAACAAACTTCAGAAAATCTAGCTGTCTTACAAAAGAGTTGCTTCACCTGAAAGTTCCTTATAAAAAAAATGCTAAATATCACAGCTGCTAATAATATCAGGAGTTAAAGCTAATGAAGTGAAAATACTAAATACAGTTTGGAGTTGTGCCACTTGTGGCTTTACTAGCTCCTTTAGAAAAATACTTTATATCACCTAATAGCCGCGCAGTATCTGGAGAAGAGCTTTTCAGCAGCCAAATACGGTAATTTCACCCTCAGCGTGAAGTGAAGTTTTTTGGTAGAATAAACCAAAAGTACTGCTGTAATAGAAACGTTTGTCTGAATTGAAGCACTTAGGGGAACTATTATGAATTTGGGTGAAGGGACAGCCTCTAGTTAAAAACTGTCTACCGCTGACAGTGCATCTCTGCCGGTCCGGAACGGCTGAGAGAACTGGCAACTTTGGAGTGTGGCGTCATCCTGGGAAGGTTACAGTCCCCTAGCAACAACTATCACAATTCTATAACAACAACACTCACTAAATCCCAGTGCTTTATAACAAAGCTGACTATAAACTCTAAACTTTAGAAATGATGTATGTACTTCCTGTCTAGTTAAGAGAATCTTTCTAATAGAGATAGCGATAATAATTAAGAATAAGAAATAGAAAAAGATGAAAATAAGATGTGAGTTTGTAGAAATTATTCTCTTGTTAGATCTCTGTGTTAAGAAATCTTTGGGTGTTTGCTAAGTTAAATATATGCTAATGGTAGCCCTATATAAGTTTGTAAAATAGATCTATAGAGTTCCTTTAAGAATATAAGCTTGCAAGAAATATCTAAGGTAGTCTTAAGACATGTAGTAATAAGCTTGTAAGAAGTAAAGATGTTAGTTGTAAATGTAAGTTTAAATAAGAAATAAGATGGAATGAATATAAGTAGTATATAAGAAGTAATAAGAAATACATTTGCTAAAGTAGTTCTATAGTTTCCTTAAGGAGTATAAATAAGTAGATGTTAATATGTTATATGTGAGTTTGTAAAATGTAAATGTTGAATGTGAATCTAAATGCTTTGCAAGGCAAAAAATGTTATATGTGAGTTTGTAAAAAAGTGTAAATATTAAGTGTGAGTCTATGCTTAATGTATATGATGAAAAAACCTGAGATACAGAAGTTAGTGTCCTAGCAGACTGCAAAGCAGGCAGTCTGAGCGGTTTTCAAAAGCTCCAGAAGCCGCTAAGAAGCTAAGAATGGCGGACGCCAGAACCAGCACAAGGCATCTGCAGCTGAGATCCGTGGAAAATCGACGCAACACAGAAAAACCTGAGCTAACATCAAAAACGGTGTGGTTTAGAATATTACTGTAACTAAAAAGGTCTCCAGCTTGAGAATGAAAGTTGCAGATATGCTTGTTTTAACTAAAATTGTTAACTGCAAAAAGTTTTGGTTGAAAAATATCTCTTCATATTTTGAAGTGATAGTCCGATACCAGAATTTATTTCTTGTTTGAACTTTTTGAACTTAAAATGAGATAAAACTACAGAAAGATTTTGGTTCTGGATTTCTTCATATTTGGAAGGCTAGTACCAGAATTTATCATTTGAATTTTAAGACTTAAGAAATGAAATAAACACTAGAGATTTCATTGCAATGGGACAATTTTGAGTTTATTCATAGTAATGACCTAGGAACAGTTTTCTGGAATTGGGTTAAAAATGGAACTATTTAAATGAAGAAATTTATTGTTTCAACCTTGATTCAAGATGCAGTTTTGTGTATGCATATATGCTGGTGATTCATGTATTCTGTGTTAAAAATGCAATTGTTTTATGCAATGTTTATGTAAAAATGGAATTACTTATGGAACTGGTTTTGTGTTACAAATGGAACTGTTTAAACAGAAAAGTTTGGGTTTTCTAACTAGGCTTGAGATTTTGCTTAAAACTATAAAGAAAAGGGAGAGTTAATATTCCTTACTCTAATCCACTCAAACAACAATTTTTTAAATAATGTCATGTTTTGTTAGTAAGAAATGCAAATGGGGTATACTAAGACTACTTTTAAAGTGTAAAGAGTTTTATTATGAAACTGCTTTTGGATGTTTTGCTAAAAGTTTTCAAAGTGTTAGTGGTTAGATTGAGAATACTTCATTTCAATATGGGTTTATAGGAATTGTGTAAGTTTGGGTTCCTCTAACTCGATTTGAGATTTTGTTTAAAAAATTATAAAGAAAAGGAGGAGTTATGAGATTGAATTATGTTTGCAGAAACCTATTGATATTAATGCACCTTGGTTTTGTGGAGTTAAGGAAATATTTAAGTTTGTGAATACATCGAAGTTTTTCCTATGTTCTGTTAGCAAGAAAATTCAAATGATCGAGTTAAAGTTGTAAGACGGAGAAAATTATTAACTATATATAGCACCATATATGCTAATTCAAATGGTTCTGTTAAGAGTTTACTTTGTGTTGTAAGATTGAGAGAACTGTGACTATGTATAGCAATATTTATGTTAACCTGTTAATGGTAATGATGAAGCTAATGGATTCTTTAAGTTTGTAGTTGCCTTAAGAGTTTTTGGTTTAGAAAGGGCTTGAGGCAGCTAAGACTGCTGTAGTCACCTTGGACCTAATTCAAAAGAGAAATGCCATCTTTATCATCCTCTACTCCCATATTGGGAGGTGTAACAGCTATGGAGATTGCTGTAAGCCAAAAATAGTTATTTTATATATTAAGAAAGGGGGACCTGTGGGAGCCCGTTCTTGGGTTCCTCGTGGCTTTACCCAGCAGGTCCCCATAGAGGATGATTAGGACCACGGGCCGAGTGCAGGTGTCTGGGATGGTCTGCACTTGGCTGTGCTGGGGGAGGAGGTCTTTTGCTCCACCCCTTGGCATCTCTATAAAAACCCTGGGGCAGAGACAGTCAGGGCCCCTTGGAAAAGGTTCCAGGCCCTCTCGAGGCTGTCCTTTATTTTCTATCTGTTTATCTCCGCAATAAATCCTATCTAATATTTCCTGCTGCTCACACTCAAGAAAACTCTGGGGAACTGTGGGGGTGGTTGGGTAAACGCCCCACATAATCTCATAACAAATTTAGGGCCATGGAAATCCTTTTCTTTAAAGTCATGCATAAAACAACTATGTTTATTGTCACTTCCATCAAACACAGCAGGGACAGGGGAAGTGCCAGAAATACAAGAAGACTGAAAACATAAATAAATCAAAGATGTGCATATTAGGGTTTTGTTTTGTTTTTTTTTTTTTTTTGTTTTTTTTTTTTTGCTTTTCAGGTTGGTTCCTTTGTGTAATCCAGGCTGTCCTGGAACTTACTTTGTAGACCAGACTGGCCTTGAACTCATAGATTCACCTCCCTCTTCCTCCTGAGCCTGTGGATTAAAGGCCTGTGCCACCACCACCCAGTCAGATTTGTTTTACAGATGAAAGAAAAGCCAGTAATCACAGGAAAGATGCAGGATGTGATAGTCAGTATAGAAAAGTCAGAAATAGTGAGGGATCCAAGAGGAAATTAAGAAGCTGGGCCTGTAGGTCATGGCCTCTAAACCTGGTTTCTTGAGAGGCTGATGCCAGAGGCTGGCAAGGTCAAGGCTCTATAGCAAAACAGTGTCACATCTGGAACACAGTGAAAGGGCTGGAGGGATGGCTAAGTGGCTGAGCACCACCTGTTGTCCCAGAGAGCCTGGGCTCCATTCCCAGACCTCACATGGCTGCTCAATGCCACCCATAACTCTAGTTCCAGTACAGCTGACACCTCCTTCTTGCCTCTGAGGTCACTGCTGTAGAGGAATTTCTAAACGGTCTTATAAAATAAAAAACATGGAAACAGATATTTTGGTTAAAGGCCAAGAGAAAGACCAGAGGAAGCAGGACAAAACACGAGCTA